CTCATCTGGTATCCCCCTCACCACATCATATCCCACTGACCCTATTTAAGCGGCGCCCACTCCCGCACGTGGTATGCAGCCGCCACGTGAGCAGCTGAGCGTGACCTGTAGGGTGGCTGAGCGGGGAATAGCTGAGGTTAGTTTGGGGATAGGTGAGGTGAAGGGGTACCATATTGGCGCGACCGACGCTCGCCTGAACAGGAGCACGCAGCGACTGCGGAGACCGAAGCATCCATGGCTGTCATAAGATGGGGAGGAGAGTAATCGATTATCCATGACCAGATTTTCATTATGAAAGTGCCCTGCGATCATATGGCGCGTTTCTACATTTATTTGATTAGAAGACAGCGGTTAGTCACCATGAGAGCATCATAAATGCCTAAGACAGTAGTATCGCCCTGCTTATGCCTTACTTTGCTCCTTTCACGAGTTAAGAAGTGAGGCTCTAAAGCAGTTGCATGAGCCCGGCGAAGCCGGGCTTCCAAGAAGGAGGAGAGCTCGGCGTTAGCCGGGCGATCCGATTGGTGTTGCCTGTATGGCAAAAGAAATCACTAGTAAATATTACAGGCTAAGAAAATGGGACAGGAGTTTCGCGGTAAGCTATGAGTTGTTATGAGCATTCACTTGAACAGGGAGCGATTTCTTCTGGTTGAAACATGATTCATTATGAAGCGATAACAACTGTGATAAGGGCACTATATAAACTCCACAAAGTAAGATGGACATCATTTTCGTCGAAGTCCGACAAGATGCTGAAGACATTCCGTGCTCTCTGCTGGATGCTTGTTACTGGGCATGCTGCCCGGCGCAGAAACCGTTTTCAAAGATCCTGTTCTCATTGAAAAAGCCAAGAGTGAAAGATGGTTCAGCCTTCCATACGATTCAAATCCGCGGGAAATCAAAGTGAGTCAGTTGAACATACGATTGAAGCACAAGATGATGATGATGAGAACTCTTGGAAAGCGAAACGTTCAGCTATACTGAGCCATTTTCAGTTTGTGAAAACAACGAACGTCTTCATGAGTGAAAAGTATAATTACGAGAAGGCTAAGAAAATTTGCGCGAAAGAAAAAGGTCAACTACTCACCGTTCGCTCCTCCAAGGATAAACTCAACATAGCAGGTCATCAAGTGTCACTTCACCTATTGTCTCAGAACGTTTTAGTGATTTCTTGATCAATCAGATCGGGGTAGGAATGAGGTCGTGTAGAACTTGCTTCGGAGGAACCTTGGAAAGCTGGAAGGGTATCTGTGCAATGATGTCTCCCTTCGCTTTATCATTTTGCCTACTATCCAGCTCTCTTCTTTGGATATACAATCGTGTTATCAGTTCTCACGGCACATTGCACTTATGTAAGCATACATCATTCTTTGATATCACGAACGACTTAGTGGTTGTAAGAATGTTTGCAGTATCGTGAATTGAGAGGTGACAGACACGCTTCGGAGAATTTGCTAAAAATACGTTGGTCCAGTGCGCTGCGGACGAAGAGGCGTGTCAGGCGAAATAAGTTTGGCGCAACGCTAAGCCCGTTCTCCACAATTTGATAAAGCAAGGAGTGACGAGACTATATCTTATCGCTCGTATTACTCCTATTCTCCCAAAATCTGTTGCATAGCCGCTTCAACATCTGTTAGAGAACGGGTTTTCGCCGTGGCGCAATCAGACTGCCTGGCACGCCCCGCCTGCAACAAACTACAGTGTAGAGGGTGTGTCGACGTAATTTGTCCACTCAAAAGGTTTCTCAAATGGGAATGCAAGCTGGCAAACAAAAGGGGGAGAAAAGGCGGAAAACCCGTTCAAAATGCCACACAGAGGAATTTCTTCGAACATGGGCTTATGAGAGCCTACGGCGAAGTGGGGGCGTGCTTGGACGAGTTCTCACTTGTTGGTGTGATAGCGACGTCAGCTCATTTTCCCCGATCACATCTCACTCACCATGCCGAGTGAGATAGCAAGTATCGTGTCCGAAGAAAGTGAATGAGTCATGCAGGCGCACCACCTTCGCCACGAGCTCTTACTGTTCTTATCAGACACTCTGAAAGCAGGAAAGCGAACGCACCTTTGTGTTTGCGTCCCGCTCAGACATCTTCCTTGTCCAGTGAATCAGACTGGCAATACCTCCGGTGAAAATGAAGGCGCCTTCGAGAGTGAAGCGAGGTCTCTAGCGAATCACAGACCTTGTTCCGTATTTTCTCAGTCCCAGAGACGCGATTAACATCAACATCTTCAAAGATTTCACAAAGGGGTCAGACCATCGCGTGCTTGGCCCAACTCTTCTTCAGAACATTGGCAAATGGGGCTGCGTCTCTGATCTTCGGTCGTCAGCGAGGCGTGTGGCGAGAAACTCCGAGCATGGCGCTTTCGATGGCACGTCCAAGTGACGTTGACCGGATGTTTATTCTGCTTTCGTAGCTCCATGTCTTCGAGGCGTATGTTAGGGCCATGAGGACCGTGAAATCGGAGAGACGGTCATGGAGCCTAATGTTGTTCGTCTTCTTCGCTTTTCCCTCGGTTTTCTCGAAAGTTCTCCAGCCGATCGCTTCCTGCTGCTCAGCTCTAGTCCAAGTCTAGAGCTCATCCTCGTCATACCTCGCTAATAGTAAGTGGGCAACTGAGACCGTGAAAGCCGTAGTTAGACCACCTTCTCGATGGCAAACATCCAACTCGGACCGTCAGATTTTCTCCTGAATCGATGATCATGGCCATGCGCGTTGACGATAAGCACCCTCACTGACAACGCCTCCTGACGCATATTCCAAGGAACAGTTCTTCTCCGCAGCGATAAAATAAAGATGCACCAAAGTTGTAGCGTGGTCACGGTAACAGTAGAGGGTTAGTTCCGCGAAGTGATATAGGGCAGGACGGATACATTATTGAAGCACTGAAATTCACAGGGTGCTTCACGTGAAAAGTTGGTTTCAAGTAATGATATAGAGATCGAGTCAGAACTAAATCTTACAGAGGCCGCACAGAATCTGGAAATGTACAACGGTCGATGGTGTGAGGAAGTACCTGAGATTGATGACAGGGCTGGCTCAAGTTGGCACCCTGGCATGGGATAATGGAGCTCCAGTCAACGCTAATTTCCAATCGGATGAAATTCATAACACCCTCTACAATATGAACAAGCATATACTCTGCCATTTCGTGAGTTCCTTATTGTATCACTAGAAGTGGAAACAGGGTACAGCATCGTTGTGCGAAACCCATAGGGGGGTCGTACTTGGCCGCTGGGGAGGGGGGGTCGTAATCTCAAGGGTCACTCAGAGCCGAGCAATGGTTCGACATTTCAGTTGATAGTGGGAGTGGAGCTATGGAAGTCAAGATGTTTAAAAAAATGAAGTTTATTATGAGTGTATTCTTTACAGCTTTAAATGCTACGTTTAACAGCCCTCTTTTCATGGGAAATCCCCAAGAATGGGTTCGTACTTGGCCGCGGGGGACGTGGGGAGTATCGCAAAAGTAGGCTCGCTAGGCATCAAACAGTACAAAGGTGTCATTGCTAAGGGTAATGGAACGGACGGAAAGCTTCAGAAGACCCGGATGTAAATAGGAATACAAAATAAAAGATTTATTAGCAATATAGCAAGAATAAATAAATAAATAAATAAATAAGTGTCAGTTTATAGCATGAACTCGTAAGTACGTAGATGACTAAATAATACGTCTCAAACAGATTCGTGCGTGTTGTCCTTTCCAAACCCTTAACAAACATCTGCTTGCATGGTTAAAAGCACAGGAGCCTAATGCACGGCGCACGGACCAAATCGATCAGAGATAGCCGAGCTTCTCTTTCACTCATTTGAAGGGAAATATGTGTTTTGGAGGCACACTGAAGTTTCGAAGGTGTATCCTCACAATGGCACATAAGGAGTCAATTTTTCGGGTGGGTCAGAGGGTGGCGCATCTGTGACCCATCTAAAATATCTCCTGAACTAGTGGGTCTTCAGAAAAACTGTAAAGCTTATTGGAAAGAGAAAAGATGGAGGGGTTTCAGGACGACTTTAATCCTGATGAAATTGCGTTGAACGAAGCAATCCTCGCGTGAAGCATGGAAACCAGCTCGCGATTTACCCCTAGCCTATCCAAAACCCATCCGGAATATTTCACCAACGGGGGATTGTTCAGTTTGCAACTAGGTAGAATACACAACAGTAGAAACTTTGCCGTTGCATGCTGCTCACCATTCCTCAAAAGCTCCGCACCTAAAAGAGATATAAGCTCCTGAAAAGACCCCAGGACGCTGACTTTCGAGTTACCGCGCTCCAATGACGTTTTTGCAGCGAAAGCGGTTGCGACCTTGCGATCGATAATAGCCAAGTATAGAACGATTTACTGCCGCCTGGTTATCCTTTTTCATTTAGCTCTGCATTTTTTGTATTTTCCATGTTTCGCTTTGTTGTGTCGTGCATGTTTTCATTATTTCCCCGTCACCATTCATTGAATGCACATCTGGGCCCTGACACGCTCACCTTGGGGCTATTTTTTCACCAATTCAGCCTATCAATGATCACCATTAGCCGCTATTTCAATTGTGTTTCTTTTACAAGTTGCATGTCATACATAGTTATCGAACGAGGAGTTTTATTTTGAATCCTAAGACAAAATTGTAGGTAATGCGAGGCTGTTGTTCAGCCTCATATTGCATGAGGCTGAAACAGCCTTTTATTGCCTGGATTTAGAGCAGAGTCCGCCTTTCGAAAATCCAGATTCCATTTCAGGAAGTTTGTGGTGAACATGCATCTGGTTGTCAGTTAGAGCAGGAGGGGGGGGGGTCGTATCTGGACCCTCTTCGAGGGGGGGGGGGGTCGTACCCACACCGCCATTTGACACATCCCCATGCTGTACCCTGAGTGGAAATATGTTAACAGAGCAAAATTTCTGTTAATACAAAAGTTATGAGCATGTGAGTATGACAAAGCGCATCGCAAGCAGAACTAAGACTGCACGCCACTACCATATCCCGGTCGCCTGTTCCGAGCGACGTGGTGTGGGTGTGGTCCCAGGTTCGAATTATGCGAGCTGATCTCGAATCCGCTTTCGAAATCTGCCAAACAATTTCTGAACAAAGTCATGAATGGCTTCCCTACCGCAGTCAGTGATTTCACCGTCTAGCTGCTCTTCATTTCGAGGAACGAGAAAATCCCGAAGCATTCCGTAAAAGTGTATCGGTGCCCGTCACTCCTTCGCCTGCCGGGTTCGGATCCTTGTCGAGCTCTCCTTTTTGCTCCTCCCAGGAACACGGAGTCTTCTGAAAAAGTCTCAGCACTCTTCAGTGATCACAGCTAGCAACTCTGAGACGTAGCTTAATTTGTAGGTACTGCTATGCCTGTCGAGGTTTCAGGGGAAATCACAATTTAACGGCCAATTGTTTCGACGTGGTCTTCTTCAGAGGCACAAACATGCTTCGGTTAAGTAGATGATTACAAACGTCAACCGTCAAACGCCTCAACCAACCCTGGTAGTTCCCGATGACGTGTTCGGGATAATACAAGAATATCCTGCGCAATACGAAAAGTGCACTCACCAGAACTCCACCGTAAATCCGCCGTCACATGCGGATGTTAGTCATGTGACGGCGGGTTTACGGTGGTGTCAGTAGTAGTCACTAGCACATGAGACCTACTATAGCGTCTCCTTATGCATATAGAGTTGAAGAGAAGCACATAAACTAGCTAGTTATAACTCGCAGTACTGTATAAACGCCGGGAATTCACTCCTTCCTAACGATACAGACGGATGCTCGTCTCGTTTATTCGTCCTGGGGTTTCTACCGGAATTCCAGTGCCCCTCCAGCGCGTTTCCTGCCAAGATTTCCGTCTCCTTGCGCCAATAATGTGCACTCAATTTCGAATTTGCTGCCGTTGCGCCGCTCAGTTTTATGCCTATTCAGCGCTGTCGTGGGCCTTCTACGCCTCATACCAGTGAAATATTCTTTTATTCACACACCGATCGCGTCTCTCTGATATACTACGTGGATACACATCGTAGAGACTGGAACCTGACACGCCGTTTTAGTTCGGCATGCATCAATCATCGACAATGGAGCCCAGGTCCGCCACCCTTGTCACGCATTTCCCAGCTGCGAAAGTAAGAAATTCCAAGCGCTGGACCACCCTAATGATCTCTGACCATGCCTTCAGATTCCAAACTATCAAAGTTTCCCAAGCAGTTGGTGAATTGCATGTGCATTTCCAGATCACAGAGAACTGAAGCTAGATAACTAGCAGTTTGTCGTTTTCTAATTAGAAATATTACAGCTTTACGTACGGCACCAGCAGTACAAGCGTACAAGATGGTTTCACAACATGTGAGAACGTCAAAATCGCTCACCCATATGTACGTGGCTTGTCAGCGGTGAATTGCATCGAACTAGACTCATTTGATAAATGTTCTTCGTCACATGCGTTGCAGAGTGCAAGAAAAGCCTTACAAGCAAAAAGCATTCAGAGTGTGCCGTGCGTTTGACGGCGGGAGGCATTTGGCACTTTCGCTGCTTTACTAGCTCCGGTTTACAAGTTCCACTGTGGTGACAGCGAAGAACTCTTGTCAATCTGGAGCAAGCCCGTCAAGCCTTGCTCTGCTAGAATCTGTAAAATTTGGATGAACCCGAAATGGCTCTATGGCTCGGTCGACATCGATGGGAGAAAGAGAAAGTGCAAATTACCCCCTACTTTGTCACTAAACTGTCGCAGCGTAATGTGCTATTTTTGTTGAGATGCGGCACATGAGAAACCCTTGCAGGTCTCTCTCCCTCACATCTACATCAGTTGTGGAAAGAGCCGGAAAGAAGAGTGAGCAGCGAAAAGAAAGTCAGGGATGTATTAGGCTAGCGCACAAGCACTGACGCTGCTCTCGGAATGTTCCGCAGTTTTCTACAGTACTGGCGAAAATTCCTGTTTCTTCAAGATGGTGACCTCGAGTTTACCGAAGATTGCCTCTCTTTTTTTACACACACTAAAACGCTAGAACCGTTTAGGCCTAATTGTTAACTATATAGCCGAGAAGGTATGACTTTTCCAGTGCGCATAGTCGTTTACACCATACAGAGGTTACCTACTTCGACTCCATAGACGAGCATCAAAGCTAATGCCCTATAGAGTCTAACTGAATGCTTAGTGGACCACTTCATTCAAAGGAATTCGAAAGAATGAAGAATTGCCAGAGGTCCTGGAAACCTTCCTTATGGTAATTAAGCATCGCGTTCAGTTGTCGTCAAGCTCTTCAAAGGTAGTGGTAGGTTCCTCAGGCAGCTCCACAGCAGAGCCCCCATGCGATACGGTGCGAACTCCAATCTCTTGGTCTATCTTTTCTATTCTATCTA